ATAAAATGGAATTACTTGTTTAATTACCATGCAAAGGGACGCCTGGGTGGCTCAGTTGGTGAAGCATCCAACTTCGGCTCAGGTCATGATCTCATGGTTTGTGGGTTCGAGCCCCACATTGGGCTCTGTGCTGACAGCTAGCTCAGAGCCTGGAGCCTGTTTGTATCTCCCTCTCCCTCTGACCCTCCCCTGCTCACCTTGTCTCTCTCTCTCTCTCTCTCAGAAAAAAATAATAAAAACATTAAAAAATAATAATAAATAAATACCATTTAAAAATATTTGTGATAATATATTCTATAAATACAATTAACACATACAATTAGCACATAATTAATTGATCTAATAAAATGTACTCTGCAGATTACAAAATTTGTTAGTTACACAGAAGTAATAACTCTTATGAATTTCTGAGGAAAAACTAAGGGAAAACTGAGGAAAAAGTATGAATATTCAATTCATGAAGAATAGCCCAAAAGATACAACCTCATAGACAAATACTCAAATTCACTTGAGTGAAGAAATGCAAATGAGAGTAACAATGCCAGGAGCACCTGGGTGGCTCAGTCGGTTAAGGGTTAAGTGTAGGACTCTTGACCTCAGCTCATGTCTAAATCTCAGGGTCGTGAGTTCAAGTCCCATGTTGGGCTCCACGCTGGGCATGAAGCCTACTTAAAAAAATAGAGGTGTCTGGATGGCTCAGTTGGTTAAGTGTCTGGTTTCAGCTCAGGTCAGGATCTCACAGTTCATGAGTTTCAGCCCTGCATCGGGCTCTGCACTAACAGTGTGGAGCCTGCTTGGGATTCTCTCTCCCTCTTTCTCTGCCCCTCCCCTACTCACTCTCTATGTCTCACAATAAATTAATAAACTTTAAAAATAAAGTAACAATGCCATATCACTTTCTATTTATCAAACAGGCGGAAATGCTGAAATTACTAATGTTGGTGGGAATTAAGGAGACTAGCACACTCCTACCTTGCTGGTAGAATTCTGACTTGTTTTCAACCTACCTGGAAAACCATTATCCTCATCCTCTTCCTCTTCCTCTTCCTAGTCCTCCCTCTCCCTTCTCTTTTTCTCCCTGTCTTCCTTCTCTCCCTCCTTCCTTTCTCTAAAGCAGCATTCCACTCCCGTGAATCTCAATCTGCCATAAGAATAAAGAAACAAGAATAAGCTTTCTGCAAAGCTATGATAGGCAAACATCTAGTGAGACTACTAATATTAGAGACTGTGGGGTATAAAAGCTAAAGGCCCCAAAGCCAGTTCAAATCCCAGCTCTACTACTCATCAGATATGTGAATATTGGCAAGTTATTTAATCTGAAGAGTGTTTCAGGTTCCAGATCAGTGACCTGGGGATAACACTATATCTAATTCATAAGTTCGTTTTGATAATTAAAATAGATCATATGCATAAAGTTTTAAAATAATATGTAGGAAACAGTAAACAAAATATAAATGTTTATTATTGTCAACTAAAAACAAACTGATTCTGCAATTTAAGGTTTTGATAAAAACATATAATCTTGTGATATAAAACATATTATTAAAATATTATAATGGCAAAGGTATACCAAAAATAACATTTCTGTTCTCTCATCCCTTTCTCTGTATATCAGATTGAACAAGCTGCATCTCAGTGAAAAAGCCACAGAGACCCTAGTAGTTTTTCTTGGTGGATCTGGACAGAGCATCTATTAAACATTGACCATGGAAATGGCTCTGTGACTAAATCATAATTCTCTTTGAAGTCAGGTGGTTTCCAATTGTCTAATTTCATCAAAATTTAAGGAACATAGATTACAGCTCAAAAGTCATTAAAACTCTTTTTAGTATCATGATATAATTTTTATATATAATTAGAAAGGACTTCCAAGATGTAAGTGACCCTGCTAAAAATAAAACTTTTAATTCCCACCTACTTATTTAATGTGGACATGATTTTTCAGTGTGTATCTATGGAAATAAAGGATAAACATAAAACAGTGCTAAATTCCGAGTAATTCCAGTAACAAGTGGTACTCAAGGGTCCACACCCAAACTAACTGAACACAGTCAGCACTGTGCATCACATTAAGAGATGTATATCTAATAAAAAGTTACTTCTAGGTTAAATAACTATCAAAATTTGTAATATATGCTGTTTGTTTTGATCAATGTATATTACTAACCATTGTGATGATAACCCAAGAGAATTTTATTAACACTTTATATCCTATGGTCATAGGAAATTGAAACATCAATTCATTTGCATATTTCTGTTGGGGAAAATTAGAAAAGCCTGACTAGAAAAGATCTATTACACAATATTGCAGGCGGCACCTGACACTTGATTTTAGCTGAGGTCGTGATCTCATGGTCGTGAGACTGAGCCCCCTGTCACTCTCCCACATGCCCTAAATAAATAAATAATAAATAATAAATGAAATAACATTGTGTATAAAGTTGTGGGGAAGGTTGAATGAAAATCTTACTCATTCAAGGAGAAAAAGTATGTAAAGTTTCAAACTGTGAGCTCCATGCATGAGTTTTTCAAATTATCGTGGTGACATCAAATCACCATACAATGTAGACTGCACTGGATACATCTTAGAGAATGACTTTCATTTTAATATGTTTATTAAGATTTTATTTTTAAGTAATCTCTACACCCAACGTGGCGCTCCAACTCACAGCCCCGAGATCAAGAGTCACACACTCCACCTACTGAGCCAGCCAGTCACCCCCAACATTGTTATCTTAAAACATTAATATTTAAAATAAGGTAGTCATCTAATCATTTGTAACCATTTAAACTTAGGATGGAACATTTTACATGTCACTTAAAAATATGTATAAGTGAGGGGCGCCTGGGTGGCTTAGTCGGTTAAGCGTCCAACTTTCGCTTAGGTCATGATCTCGCAGTTGTGGGTTCAAGCCCCGCGTCGGGCTCTGTGCTGACTGCCCGCTCAGAGCCTGGAGCCTGTTTCAGTCTGTGACTCCCTCTCTCTCTGACCCTCCCCTGCTCACACTGTCTCTCTCTCTCTCTCTCTCCTAGAAATAAATAAAACATTAAAAAAAAATTTTAAAAAAAATATGTATAAGTGAATACCAAATTTAGAGGGATTGAAAGCAAAAATTTTGAAGACTATCATGGTAGATGCTGTGGTAGATCAGAACAGTACTGAGAAGGTATACTTCACCTCCCAGAACTACGCGACACGCCCCCATGTAAGTCATTTATTCAGAACTAGGATCTATGGGATTTACGATACCCAATAACCTCTGAACTTTTCCTTTAAAGTTGGTGTTTTGAGGGACTCTTTTCCCAAGTGGTAGAAAGAGCTACCATTTAGTTTTCATGGAAAGAGCATTCCATCCCAGGATTCTTCACCTTCCCTAAACAAAGCAACTTGGCAGATTCCATATAAGGTAACTTTCCATGTTAAGATTCTGAGTCAGTATTAGAAACATTCTAAATTAAAGGTTTCAATAAAGTGAATACATAGTTTTGACTATTGATAAAATAAGTAACTGTATGTGCATATGTGGCAATTTATAGTATTGTGAACATATCTGAAGCTGTCCTGAATACAATGATTGCTCTACAGATAAAAATATAGGAATTCAAAAATTGGGTAGGACATACCTTAGCCTGCTACAAGTTTGACAAGAACCAGATTCTGGGGTGGACAGTACAAACCACCCTTAAAAAACTGAAATTGAAACTCACAAGATTTAGGCATTATGGAATTTGGAATTGGAAGAAATCGGTGGGAGTTATGACTTATACTTCCTAACTTCAGAGTTCACGCTTTTGGGGGCATCTGGCTGGTTTGGTTGGTAGAGCGACTCTTGCTCCTGGGGTTGTAAGTTCAAGCCCCATGTTGGGTGTGGAGAATAATTAAAAATAATTTTTTAAAATCTTAAAAAAAAAAGCCATACCACAAAGTTCACTCTCCTCTACTGCCAGGCATATGGGCCTTAAAAAGACATTACTCCCTCCAATCCCCCTCCCATTGTTAGTTTATTACCAACAAACTGGAAATAAGAAATATCTTGTCCAGCCTGTTTCTCACAGCCTCTGCAGGAGTCACAGCAAGTAAAGTGAACCTACTCATTTGCAAATTTTTGAGTAGGAAAAGCATTATATTATTTATTTTTCACTGAGGGAGAATCTTGGGGCAAAAATTACCGAGACATATAATTTGCTTGGAAAATGTATAGGAAAATGTGTGGAAACCTACATATAAATAATGTCAACTGCCTTGTGCTATAATATTTTCAATAATGCAAGTAAGCTGGGGCGCCTGGGTGGCTTAGTCGGTTGAGCGTCCGACTTTCGCTTAGGTCATGATCTCGCGGTTCGTGGGTTTGAGCCCCGCGTCGGGCTCTGTGCTGACTGCCAGCTCGGAGCCTGGAGCCTGTTTCAGTCTGTGACTCCCTCTCTCTCTGACCCTCCCCTGCTCATGCTGTCTCTCTCTCTCTCTCCTAGAAATAAATAAAAATTTAAAAAAAAAAATAATGCAAGTAAGCTGTTGATAATACTCTGTGGTTTTCCTTGTAATATTGCGATCGATGACTAAAATTAACACCAAAGTAATAATACGGAAGATTAAGAAATGAGAGTGAGTTTTCTGTTTTGTTCCTTCCCATTTTTTTATTGTCTGTTGATTTAACACGTGTCACTGAACTTCCTTGTGACTGCCTTTCTTACCTCAGAGATAAATATCAACTTTTAAACAATTAAAAAATTGCAAAGTTCTTGTTGCCTTATTCTTTACCACATGATCTCCTTGCAGATAGTTTGTACTAGCTCTGTTTCTGGCATCTTCTAAAATTCCATTTTGGAAATAATTTTCTTCTAATATCCAATTGCTCTAGGGAAATAAATTAGGCAATTTAATTGCATGAGACAGAATTCATTCCAAATGACCTGAGGAAAGAACAAACTTGAAGTATTTAGACTTCGATTTCTGGTCTATGAGGATTGCTCTAAGAATGTGTACTTCACCTGGAACTTTCTCTACCCTCCCATCAAAGGCTGCATATTTTCATAGCTACTCTGCCGCCATGAAGGTCTTCTCGAATGCCGTCCTTATTCTGGCCGTCTCCGTGTGGGCCATCTTTGCAGTTGGTGAGTTACATATCCTTGCTCTGCCCACATTTTCTGGGGTGTATCCAAGATCATAGGAAATTCAGAGGTAAAGTGGAAGGGCTGTTCAGTTTTATTTAACCCTTTTTTTAAATGTTTATTTTATTTTTGAGAGAGAGAGAGACAGAACATGAGCGGGGGAGGGACAGAGAGAGGGAGAAGGATCTGAAGTAGGCTCCAGGCTCTGAGATGTCAGCACAGAGTCTGATGTGGGACTTGAAAGCATGAACTTCAAGATCATGACTTGAGCCAAAGCTGAATGCTTAACTGACTGAGCCACACAGGCACCCTATTTTATCCTGATTCCTTTAAATTACAGATGTAGAAACTGAAATCCAGAGGAAGAAAGCCTTCCCTCAATGTCATTGGTATCAAAGCTAGGAGTCAAATTCAAACCTTCCAAACCCAGGACCACTGAACTTATCAAAATACCCATTTACTATCCAGGCATTCAAACCTTAGAAACATTCATTTCCAGAGTCTATATTTCTCAAACCCAAAAAGAATTCGTTTAGCTCTGTGGAAATAGAATCAGATATTCTTCTGGTCCATGGCTGGTTTTAGAGTTTATGTTTAATTGTAGGGAATCTCTGAGTGCCTCAATGCGGTGCGTTCCAATCTGTGGGGGCTGGTGGCATGGGTGGGGAAAGAATTCACAAGGCAAAACAAAAGAGATAGAAGTTTCTTGAGTATACTGCAAGGGAGCAGCAGGCAGGAGGACAGCAAGGGAGAGACTGTCTGCCAGGAGGCAGTGCTGAGGGGCCACAGTTAGAGCACTGAGTAAGGGAGTATGGGGACAAATGGAAATTTCCCATTTTTTGGTAATCTTCTGAATTGTGCCTGGTAATCATTGGTCAGTTAGGGCCTATGGATATTTCGAGGTGGGTCATGTAATGAGCCTGTGTGTGTCAAGTGGTCGCTGTGGGTCCTTTTGCCTTGCTCAGGTTTCCATTGCTCAAGCCTCTACATTCAACACATTCTTTTTCCATTTGGACTTTGAAACTTGCATTAACCTTCAATTTTTTACTTTCTATTGGTGCTTTCTGTATTACAATTTTTTTTTCAAGCCTCTCACATCTTAAGAGGCTCTGTAACCAACTGAAAACTAATCTCCATGCCTCTCATATCTTATGGGGAAACTCCTTTCCCTCCTCTTCTAAAGAAAAAACTTTCCTTCCACTCCAACACTTCTGACACCAAATGTGTGGGGTTTCCACACCAAGCAATCCTCCCTTTTACTGTGGACACCAACTGGGTGTCCTATAGTTTAACACAATTATGACACTACTGCCAGGCATTCATCCAAACAGCACGGGGTAAGGACTTGATAGACAGACACAAGACTGGGCCTCCAGTTTTTCTAGCCAACTAGCTGTAAGACACGAATTCCCCTGACTCCGTTCTCAGATTCAATAATTTGCTAGAATGGCTCACAGAACTCAGCAAAGTGCTTTACTTACTATTTCCGGTTTATTGTAAAAGGCAGAACAACCAAATGGAGGAGAGGCACAGAGCGAGGTATGTAAGAAGGGACACAGAGCTTCCGTACCCTCTGGGGGCACCACCCTCCCAGCACCTCAGTGTGTTCAACCTGGATGCTCTCCAAACTCTTTGGTTTAGGATTTTTATAGAGTTTCCATTATGAAGGTGTCAACTGAGAAAGAGGCAAAACTGAAAAAGAACAAAGATCTTTATTTGAGGTCTCAGAATTGCACAGACTCCAGACCTACAATGTGCTGCTCACATGGGAAAGCAAGGGGTTTTTATGAGAAAAATTTACATGATCCTGATAGGGAAAAATCTGTTATAAGATGGCTGATAGGACTGATAGGGGAATTCCAGTCCCTGACTGAAGACTTCCCTTCCGGGTTTTTCTTCCCACCTTGCTTGTCTCATGTGAACAGACTATAAATTGTCCCCTCTGCTTATGCTCACACTTCAGACCTCTGGAGAGTGATATCCTCTGAGCCCACCGGTGTAAAATAACCCTTCTGCCTTTCAAGATCTCCAAGTACTGCTTGGTTCTTCTGCCAGGTGATCCAAACCAGATTCCATAACAATCCTAGATAAAGGAGAGAAGAGGAAAAAAACAAAAAAAAAACCCTCCATTCAGTGCTAACTGGTGGAGTTGCTTTTGATTACTATCTAGTTGGTTGTTTTATAGATGCTATTGAACAGAACTCCTCCTGGTATGCATTAATTTTTCCATCATCATGAAGGTCATATCCCCAGTTTTATGGCCTGAATTCCGGTTGTTCTGTTGGATTTTATGAGCAACTGTTTGTAATACAATTAGCACTTCTGGCACAGTTCAAGAGTTCATTGCGTAGGATGGAAAATAGAGCTTCAAAATGGAATCTCTCATATCTAGAAATTTTGTACAGGGGCACCTGGGTGGCTCAGTTGGTTAGGTGTCTGACTTCAGCTCAGGTCATGATCTCACAGTTCGTGAGTTCAAGCCCCACATCGGGCTCTTGTTGTAGGTGCAGAGCCGGCTCTGGATCCTTGGTTTCTCACTCTCTTGCCCCTCCCCCACTTGCTCTCTCTTTATCTCTCTCTCTCTCTCAAAAAGTAAATGAACTTAAAAAAACTTTATACAATTCCACAAAGACATAATTAAATCATTGTCCTTTGTTGATTATTTCAATCTCCAGCCCCTCTCCTCTCCAGAGGCTGAGCAGTGGGGCAGAAGCTTCCAATTCTCTAATCCCATGGTTTTCTCCTCTGGAAACCAGCCCCATTCTCCTCCTCCAAGAGCTACCTCATTAGCATAAACTCAGGTATGGTGGAAAGGGGCTTATTATGAATAACAGAAGATACTCCTCTCCCCATCTCTCAGGAAATTAAAAGGGTTTTTGAGCTCTGTGCTAAGAACCGGAGACAGACCAAAGATATTTCTTCTTATATTACACCTCCTCTTCCCTATTAAATTTAATCCTCTCTAAAGAAATCCAGATATAGGGATGCTAACGGCACAGAGCCTGCTTGGGATTCTCTCTCTCTCTCTCTCTCAATAAATAAAAAAGTATAACAAGTAAAAAAAAAAAAAGAAATTGAGATATATTTTTACACTTTCTCATCTCTCACTCAATCCTCATCCCCAATGCTACTGAGAACACCACTCAGTGGCAGTGACCTTCCTGTGAGCACCCAATGTGACCTTCTGTTTAAGCCTTACGCTAACCCTCTGTGAGGAACATACCATCACTCAACCAAGGTAGATCACTCCATCTTTCTTGAAAATCACTCTGTCCTTCCCCTCCTAGTTTTGTGGCCTTATATTTTCATTCAAATCTGTTTCTCTCCTTTGTACCAATATCAACTCTGTTCAGTTGATAAAATACTTCATATATCACATAAATCCATGCCCTTCTCACAAAAATGACTCTTCTTAAAATTTTAAAAAAATGTTTATTTATTTTTGAGAGAAATAGAGACAGAGAGACAGAGTATGAGTGGGGGAAGGACAGAGAGAGACACACAGAATCTGAAGCAGGCTCCAGGCTCTGAGTTGTCAGCACAGAGCCTGACGTGGGGCTTGAACTCACAAACCATGAGATCATGACCTGAGTCAAAGTTGGATGCTTAACAAACTGAGCTACCCAGGCACCCCAAAAATGACTCTTCCTTAATGAAGGTTTTCATCATAGTTCCCTGAAAGTATTTTTATATTCTCCTTAACTACTCCCTTTGTCTCCAGCTTGACTTCCTCTCACCCACCATCCTACTGCTTAAGAGCTGTCTTTTTTAGTGCAAACCTTATCATAGCTCTGCTGTACTCAACACAAAAGTCTTTGTGATAACTACCTCACTACTCTGATGGGTCTCCTAGTGATAGAGTAGGGAGTTAGTGACATAGGAGCAGGCAACAGGACTCTCTGGCCAGTACAAAGATACAAATCAAGAAACCACCAACCGTCCCCAGAACACAAACAGCTGGAAAAAGACCCCAGGGGATGTGCATGCTTCATCCCCGATAACTACTGCACTGTAGTAACCTATGGCTTCATTGTAATACATTAACATAGCGGTTTTGACCTTCTTTGTGGAGGATAGCTGCCATGACGGTTCCCACAAGGACTACATCGGGCCAAAAACTCCCTCTGGGCTGGTAGGAGGAGTCCCTTAGATGATTGGAAACAGCTCAGACTGGGTCAGAGACCTCCCTAGCTATGACCCATAACCTATGCAAACAAAAAGGAAAAAATTCTGGTGCAGTTGCCACTTCTGGGCCTGCTTCCTATTCCATTATGAGAGTGTACTATTAAACTCTTGCCTACTTGAGATTTTGGCTCTGAATTCTTTCTTGGCCGAACTCAGGAACTGAGGTTGGTGCTGAGTCGGGGAAGAGACCTGCTGTTGATGTTAGCCGTTGACATTAGTTGACATGCCACCTATTTACATATCCAATAACTACACACCATATGCTCAGCTGTGCCAGAAACTAGATCCTGAGCTAGATCCTGTTTGTATGGCAGAAATGGTCTCTGGTCCAACAGTGTGACAAATCAGTGGCTGGAGAGACTAAGTGCCAATGAACCAGTATCCAGAATATATAAAGGACTCTTGCAAATCAATAATAAAAAGACAAATAAACCAATTTTTAAAAAAAATAGGCAAAGTAACTGAACAGACATTTCTCCAAAGATAATAAATGAATGGCTAATAAGTACATGAAAAGATGCTCAACATCATTGGTCAGTAGAGAAATATTCATCAAAACCACAATGAGATACCACTTCATACCTACTCTAATGACTATAACAAAAAAGGGAGAAAATAACAAGGTTGGCAAGAATGTGAAAAAATTGGAATCCTCATACACTGTCACTGGGGATATAAAACTGATTCGACTTCTTTGAAAAATAGTCTAGTGGTTTCTCAAAAGGTCACCATACAACCCTAGGATTCCACTCTTAGGTATATACCCGAGGGAAATAAAAACACATGACCACACAAAAATGTGTATAAATGTTCATACCAGCCTTGCTCGTAACAGCCTAAAAGTGAAAACAATTCAGATGTCCATTAATTGATTAATGAATAAGTAAAACATGGTATTTAAATCCAATGGAATATTAAATTTAGCTATAAAAAGGAATAAAGTACTGAGGCATACTATAACAGGGATAACTCTTTAAAACATCATGCTAAGTGAAAGAAGATAGACACAAAAGACTACAGATGTATGATTCTATTTATTTTTTTTTTTTTACAAATAGTTTATTGTCAAATTAGTTTCCACATAACACTCAGTGCTCATCCCCAAAGTGCCCTCCTCCATGCCCATCCCCCCCTCCCCCCCACATCCATCAGTCCTCAGTTTTTGTCAGCATTCAAGAGACTCTCATGGTTTGCCTCTCTCCCTTTCCCCCTGTATGATTCTATTTATATAAAAAAGTAGATTATTGGTTGTCTGGGGTGGGGGAAGGGAGGGGGTGTGGAGGGAGGAATGAAAAGTGATTGCTGGCAGGGACAGGGTTTCTTTTTGGGATGATGAAAATGATCTAAAACTAATTGTAGTAATGGTTGCACAACTCTGTGACTATACTAAAAACCACTGTATGCTTCAAATGGGTGAATTCTATGGTATGCAAATTATATCTTAATAAAGCTATTATACAATGTGGAGATTCCTCAAAAAATTAACAATAGAACTCCCCTAGGACCCAGCAATAGCACTGCTGGGAATTTACCCAAGGGATACAGGAGTGCTGATGCATAGGGGCACATGTACCCCAATGTTCATAGCAGCACTCTCAACAATAGCCAAAACATACAAACAGCCTAAGTGTCCATCAACGGACAAACGGATCAAGAAGATGTGGTTTATCTATACAATGGAATACTACATGGCAATGAGAAAGAATAAAATCTGGCCATGAGCAACATGGATGGAACTTGAGGGTGTTATGCTGAGCGAAATAAGTCAGGCAGAGAAAGATAGATACCATATGTTTGCACGTATAGGAGGATTAGGAGGAACTTAACAGAGGACTGTGGGTGAGAAGAAGGGGAAAAATAGTGGGGGAGAGGGAGGGAGGCAAACCATGAGAGACCCTTGAATGCTGAGAACAAACTGAGGGCAGATGGAGGTGGGGGAGAGGGGATGGAGGGTGATGGGCATGGAGGAGGGCACTTGTTGGGATGAGCACTAGGTGTTATATGGAAACCAACTTGACAATAAACTATTTTTAAAAAGCTGTTATATATAGAGTTGATAATATACATTTAATTGTTATATCAGATAATTATAACATATAATTATATATAATGAAGTATTATATACATATACAGTTGCAGGGTAAGGGGCACTGACCCTTAATCCTACACACAGTTAAAATCTGTATATAACTTTAGGCTCCCCAAAACTTTACTAATAGCCTACTTGTGACTGGAAGCCTTACCAATAACACAAACACTCAACATATCAACATATATTTTGTATAGTATATGTATTATGTACTGTATTCTTACAATAAAGTAAGCTAGATAAAGGAAAACATTATTAAGAAAATCATGGGGTGCCTGGGTGGCTCACTTGGTTAAGCGTCCAACTTCAGCTTAGGTCATGGTCTCCTGGCTCATGAGTTCCAGCCTCTGGGGTTGAGCCGCCTGTTTCATATTCTGTGTCTCCCTCTCTCTCTGCCCCTCCCCTGCTCATGCTCTGTCTCTCTCTCTCCCTCAAAAACAAACATTCAACAAAAGAAAATCATAAGGAAAAATACATTTACATTTCAATATTGTCATGATTGAAAAAAATCCACATATAACTGGACCCACACAGTTCATTTTGGACCAAGAATATGTAAGCCTTTGAAATTAATATAACATTGTATGTTAACTACACTTCAATGAAAAAAAATAAAAAAAATATGGAACCCTTAATGAAACTTAGCAGCTTTGGAGGTATCTCAATATAACTATTTCATGGCAATTTGTAATTTAGAGGGTGTTTTCTAAAAACAACTGAGTGGGGCACTTGGGTGGCTCACTCAGTTAAACATCCGACTTTGGCTCAGGTCATGATCTTCAGGTCCATGAGTTCGAGCCCCGCGTCGGGCTCTGTGCTGACAGCTCAGAGCCTGGAGGCTGCTTCGGATTCTGTGTCTCCCTCTCTCTCTGCCCCTCCCCCACTCATGCTCTGTGTCTCAAAAATAAACATTAAAAAAAATAATAAAAATAAAAACAACTGAGAAGGATTATAGAAGTTATTTACCTATGAAGTGGCAGGGCCAGAATTAAGATCCCCATTGTATATTAGGGAGGGGGGCACAAGGTCTCTATTTCTTTACTTCTTTAGAGGGCAGTATGCATCACAGAAGAACCTGGCCCCTTCTTTTTTTTTTTTTTTTAAGTTTATTTATTTATTCTGAGGGTGAGGGGAGAGAGCAAGAGAGAATCTCAAGCAGGCTCCATGCTACCAGCACAGAGCCTGATGCATGGCTCTATCTCATGGAACCATGAGATCATGACCTGAGCCGAAATCAGGAGTCAGATGCTTAACTGACTGAGCCACCCCGGTGCCCCAACCCCAGCCCCTTCTTATGGAATCCCTTGCTGCCTGTGTGCCAACCACGGTCTCCCTCACCCTAGCTTTTTTCCCCTAAGGCCAGAAGACAGAGCAGCAACTCTTCTGAATGCACTTTTGTCTTCCAGATTTCCGTCTTCCTACAGGTCCAGGGGCTCAACTACAAGAGACGAAGGTGAGCTCTACTTCCTTGGTTCCCAAGAACAGGAATGGGGAGCAAGCTAGTTTCCGCAATAACCCCAGATCTTTCTTCTGAGAGGTGGGGGCAGAGGGGGTTTGCATGGGAATAACACCACAATAAAATCTGGGTCATCAACTATGTGTAACACATTTCATATGTTCTTCGCCCTCTTCCCATGCATTATTCCAATCAGTTCATACTGTTTTGTGGGATAGAAGGCAAATATTCTGAACTGTTAAATGGATGAAATCGTGGCTCAAGTTCATGTCTGTCCTATGCTGCAGTGGACATTCTTTCAGCTGAGATATGCCAAAATGTACATCGTGTATCCCACACGCTAAGGCCCCGCAATGTACTCTCTCTGTCCCCTTCCTTCTAAATCCTACCTCTGCTGTGACAAATTCAACACCACTGTTTTATATAAGTCATATATAAGTCACTCAGTAATGTTCATAAGAAAAGTCTAACCTTGAAGACATCTTCTTTTCTGTAACCTGACAATCACATTTTGTAGTTGATAGGGCAGGGATTTTCATCCTAATGAGACACTTTTAGCTCAGACTGGGGAGTTCACAGATCATATGTTATATTAACTATATATTATATTATAGTTATATTATTGATTAAGTGCCACGGGCTGAATGCTAAAGCTGCTAAAGACTATTCTCTGAATTCCTGGTCTAGTGTTCCTTTTTCAGTCCCCCTCCCACACTACCAGTAATAATGGTTAGAGGATCTGGAATAAGGCGCCTGAAGCAGCAATCTGTGTTTCTTCTTTAGGTCAAGTGCATGGAGAATATAAATGAGTGCTGGTTTATCTCTTACCTCAAGCCAAGTGAACCCATATGTGGCAGCGACCAGGTTACCTATAATGGTGAATGCCATCTCTGCTCTGAAATTCTGTAAGTCTTGATTTCTCTTCTCCCTTCTCTCCGTCAGGAGACTAAAGGTAGAAAAGATAGGAGTAAAGCTCCTCAGAACTCTTTCTACGGGTTCGATCTTCCCTCCAGAGACTCCTCCACTATTTGCTCCTCAATTTCTTCCATCCTTCCCTATGCTCCTAGAAGGGATCCCATTCACACAGTGCAGAAACAGAAAGCCACTGAGGTGAGAGAATATTGTCTGGCCTGGACAAGTATCAAGTGGAAAGTCCTCAGTAGCAAGTAGCCACAGGATTCAGACCATGTGATCACAGCTGAGGGTTACCCTCAAGCCCCCTCAGACCAAAGAACAAAAGCCTGATGAAGAAGAGGAGGAGGGTGCTTGGTGTAGAATCTTCCCAGCTGATGGTTTATTGATCCTTGAATGGAAATTATTCTCTCAAATAACTTTCTTTAGCTTCCAATTAAAAAAATTTTTTTTAATGTTTATTTATTTCTGAGAGAGAGAGAGAGAGCGCGTAGGGGAGGGGCAGAGACAGAGGGAAACACAGAATCTGAAGCAGGCTCCAGGCTCTGAGCTGTCAGCACAGAGCTTGACGTGGGGCTCAAACCCACGAACTGTGAGATCATGACCTGGGCTGAAGTCAGACACTCAACTGACTGAGCCACCCAGGCACCCCTAGCTTCCAATTTTCTTTTAGCTTTCATGTTTTAGCTATGTGGTTTAGTCTTTGGCCCCATCATATGTTAGAAGATTTGGGAGACACCCACATGAAACGCCCAATTCTTTGGTCTGAGAGGAATAATAGTGAGGTACAGAGGTTTTTATCGAGGAGGCTGCCTTACAGAGGTGGGAGGAGGATTCCCTGATATCTGCTTTCTCCTTTAAGGAGAAAAGCTACACCCTTAGGTAACTAAAATTTAGAGATTAAGTCCAATACTTTATAAGACAGAAAAGCAAGGACATGAGAGTAGATAAAACTTAAGTCATTCTGTTTCCTCTTGTCTGCTCCTTAAAAGAAAAAATAATAATCTTGGTCACAATAAGAGTTGTTAAGGTTTGCCTCCCTCCCTCTCCCCAACCATGAGAGACTCTTGAATGCTGAGAACAAACTGAGGGCAGATGGGGGTGGGGGAGAGGGGAAGGGGGGGTGATGGGCATGGGAGAGGGCACTTGCTGGGATGAGCACTGGGTGTTATATGGAAACCAACTTGACAATAAACTATTTAAGAAAAAAAAATATCAACCTCAAAAACAAAACAATAAGAGATGTTAAGCTGGGCAGGATTGGACTTTCTTGCATGCCTTGCTGCATAAATATCGAAATTTACACTAGAACCCATAAAAGATTGGTGAGGCAAACAACTTTGGCACCAGCCTCAATCACCAGCATAGACATCTGACAATCAGAATGCACAATCTGGGGAACTTAGAACATCACAGACTCATAGTATGCTAAAACCAAGAGATACTGGAGAGATAGCTTCCAGAGAATTCACATATACTATATTTTTTAAAATGTTTTCTTAGTAGTTAAAATAGGAATTAAAATTAAGATTTTAACTTACTATAATCTAGTTTGGATCGATACATTAATTATGAAAGCATCTAAAAACTTTGCTTCTATATAGCTCCATGCTATTCACCAATCCTTGCATATTATTATCATGCAAAGTATACCTTTATATACTCTGTTACAACATAGATCTGTAATTATTGCTTTAGGTCGTTGTCTTTTAACTCAGGAGAAAAAAGTTGAGAGAAAAAATACATTTATACTGTCTTTTCTGTTTTCCTATATAGTTACCTTTACTGGTTCTCTTTCTTTATGTGGATTTGCTTTTCTGTCTAGTGTCCTTTCATGTCAGCCTAAAGTACTGTCTTTAGTATTCTGAAGCAACAGATTCTCTCAATTTTTGTTTATCTGACAATGTTTTAATCTCTTCTTTCTTCCTTTCTTCATTCCTACCTTCCTTCCTTCTTCCTTCCCTTCTTCCCTTCCTCCCTCCTTCCTTTCTTTCTTTCAGAGAGAGAGAGTGTGAGCAGGGGAGAGGGGCAGAGGGAGAGAGAGAATCTTAAGCAGGCTGCACACTCAGCACGGAGCTCAATGTGGGGCTCGATCCCACAACCTTGGGACCATGACCTGAGCCAAAATCAAGAGTTGGACACTTGACTTTATCTCTGAAGAGAATACTGTTTGCTGGTTATATAGACTCTATTGACAGTCATTTTCTTTCAGCACTTTAACTCTGTCATCTTACTGTCTTCTGGCCATGGTTTCTGATGAGAAGTCAGGTGTTAATCTTACAGAGGATCAGAGTATGTGAGAATTCACTTCCCTCTTGCTGCTTTCAAGGTTCCCTCTTTGTTCATCTTTCCACAGTTTGATAATGATTTGTCCATGTGTGGATCTCTTTGAGTTCATCCTATTTTGAGTTTATGGCACTTCTTGATGTGTATATGAATGTCTTTTTAATCAAAGTTAGAAAGTTTTGGGGAGCCTGGGTGGCTCAGTCGGATAAGCGTCCAACTTCGGCTGAGGTCATGATCTCACAGTTCATGAGTTCGAGCCCCGCGTCAGGCTCTGTGCTGACTGCCAGCTCAGAGTCTGGAGACTGTTTCAGATTGTGTATCTCCCTTTCTCTCTGATCCTCCCCTGCTCATGTACTCTCTCTCTCAGAAATAAATAAAACATTAAAAACATTTTTTTAAAAAGTCAGAAAGTTTTCAGCCCTTATTTCTTCAAACGTTTTTTTTTTTAACTTTTACCTTTTTTTTTTTTTTTTTAGTTTATTTATTTTTGAGAGAGAGGGGCTGGGTAGAGATAAAGAGAGAAAGGGCGAGAGAGAATCCTAAACAGTGGCAGAGCCCGAGGCAGGGCTAAGTATCATGATTCTTAAGATCATGACCTGAGCTGGGGCGCCTGGGTGGCTTAGTCGGTTAAGCGTCCGGCTTTCGCTTAGGTCATGATCTCACGGTTCGTGGGTTCGAGCCCCGCATCGGGCTCTGTGCTGACTGCCAGCTCAGAGCCTGGAGCCTATTTCAGATTCTGTGTCTCCCTCTCTCTCTGACCCTCCCCTGCTCATGCTGTCTCTCTCTCTCCTAGAAATAAATAAAACATTAAAAAAAAAAAAAAAAAGATCATGACCTGAGCTGAAATCAACAGTCAGACACTTAAGGGGCACCTGGGTGGCTCAGTCAGTTGAGCATCCGACTTCAACTCAGGTTATGATCTCATGGTTCCTGAGTTCAAGCCCCACAATGGTTTCTGTGCTGACAGGTGACAGCTAGGCTCAGGCCTGGAGCCTGCTTCAGATTCTGTTCTGTCTCTCTCTGTCCCTCCCTCGTTCTCTCTCTCTCAAAAATAAACATTAAAATTTTTTTTAAAAGAAGAGTCAGACACTTAACTGACTGAGCCACCCAGGTGCCTCTTCAAATATGTTTCCCATCCTTTCTTCTCCTCTCTTTCTGGGACTTCTATACACTTGGCGGTGGCCTGCATTTCTTTGTACCTCTGTTCATTTTCCCCCCAATTTGAACTGGCTTTTTCTTTTATTTGCTATCTGAAGCATTATGACCCACTTTGTTCATTTTTCATTAGTTTTTCTTTCTTTTCCTCAGATTGGACAATATTAATTGACCTATCTTCAAGTTCACTGACTCTTCTGTCTGCTCAAATCTGATGTTGATTCTCTTTAGTAAATTTTTCATTTCAGATCATTATATTTCTACACTTGATCTTAGCCAAAAGGCCAAGAAGTGAGCATTATATTTGTAACTTCAATAATTTCTATTTGGGTTGTTTATTAATTATATTTCTATCACTTTATTGATATTCTCTATTTAATGAGACATTATTCTCATACTTTCCTTTAGTTCTTTAGATACAGTTTTCTTTAGTTCTTTAGACATAGTTCTTTTTAGTTCTTTAAATATATTTAAAATAACTATTTTAAAGGGCACCTGGGTGGCTCTTTTTGGTTGAGCATCAATTGGACTTTGGCTCAAAGTCATGATCTCATGGTTCATGAGATCGAGCCCTGCATGGGCCTGGCTGCTGTTGGCACAGAGTCCACTTCAGATCCTCTGTCTCCTTCTCTCTGCCCCTCTCCCACTCATGCTTTCTCAAAATTAATAAAACATTAAAAAATAATTAATTTAAAATCATTGTCTCTTAAGTCTAACATCTGGGCTTCCTCAGTGTCTGTTTCTATTGATTGTTTTCCTGTGTCTGGGCCTCATCTCGTTTCTTTGCATAAATCACAATTTTTTATGATTTTAAATAACATGTTGTGGCAACACTGGAAATCAGATTCTCTCCATTCTCCAAGATTCATTGCTGTTGCTGTTTGTTGTTGCTGCTACTATTTATTAGTTTAGTGGCTTCTGGAATAATTTCATGAAGTCTGCTTCTTTGTCATGTATGGTCACTGACAGGTCCTACTCAATTATCTTAGTGGTCTCCTAAGGATTGGACAAATTTCTTCTCAAATGGTTGGAACCAATAAATCTCCCAGTTTTTGCCAACAGAAACTTTGTATGTGTTGAGGAATGGCTTCAACACTTAGCCTTCACTTCCTGTTTTTGGTGAGCTTCAACATTAGCCAGAGATGAGAGCTTAAGACCTTCTCAGGTCTTTCCTGATCATGCACATAGCCCTATACATGTGCATGGTCTTCTAGATTCCCAGGAATATCTTAGTGCTTTTCTTTTTTTTTTTTTTAAATATTTTATTTATTTATTTATTTCTAGGAGAGAGAGAGACAGAGTGAGCAGGGGAGGGTCAGAGAGAGAGAGGGAGACACAGACTCTGAAATAGGCTCCAGGCTCTGAGCTGGCAGTCAGCACAGAGCCCAACGCGGGGCCCAAACCCACAAACCACGAGATCATGACCTAAGTGAAAGTCAGACGCTTAACTGACTAAGCCACCCAGGTGCCCCTCTTAGTGCTTTTCAAAACTTCCTAAGGATATCTCATTCCTCTGCTTTTACTTTTAAGCTTTTGGTTGGCTTATTGTTTT